AAAAGAGCTTAGGAGCATACTGCATCGGATAGTCCCCCATATTTATCCGTGATTAAAAGAATACCATCACATTCCAGCCTCTTGTTTCCACACCCCTATGCCCTAAACTCTAATTAAGCCCGAATTCCTAAACCCCAAAGCCCGAATTCCTAATTCCCTAAACCCGATTTCCTAACCCCTAAAACCCCTCTGAACCCCGAAACCCTAAACCTGAACACCCTAACCCCTGAACCCGCTTAAACCAGTTAAAGCCACTTTGAGACCTCTTTGAAAAGCACCTGGGCCCGAAACCTTAAAACCTAAACGCTACACTCTACACTCTAAACCCTGAACCCCGAAACCAGAATTCGTAACCCCAAAACCCGAAATCATAACCCCTAAACTCCCTTTAACACCCCTATAGCCCCCTTTTAAATCCCCAAAATCCCGCTTAAACTCCCAAAATCCCTTGCAAAACACTCCCTGGGACCTGCAAGCGCCTCTAAGGCTTCGTTCGTTAACGCCAGGCCAACCTGTTGAACCTTGAGCCTGGCAAAAGGTGCATCCTTCCATGTAGGGCTTGGGGGGCTTTAGGGGTTTTGGGGTTTTGGGTGTTGGGGTCTAGGGTTTATAGGGGTTTGGGATTTAAGGGTTCAGGGGGTAGGGTTAAGGGTTCAGGGCCTTCCCAGACAACCCAATACGCCGTAATTAAGGAACACACCTTAATAAACCATAATATGAAGCCCTCTATAACGTAAGGCATATTCCTTACTTACGGGGTATTGGGTTCTCCTGGTTTCAGCGTTCCTCTCAAGGGTTCGAAAAAGGTGACTCTACGCACAAGGGCGGATTCGGGTGTTTAGGAGGTTCTTCAGCCTGGGCTTAGGGCCATAGGAGTCTCATGAGGGCTTTCCTTTATATCTTTGAGAAAACATTTTGACCGCTTATTCAGATGTTTTCGTGCCTTTTCGGATTAATGTAGGGGGGCCTTAAAAATTACCTATACTATTTTGCGGGTTCCTGATTATAGTTATAGTACAATATACCCCCCCAACAGCCTATTCTAATGATTAAGGCTCCTATATTACACGGTTGAGGGCTTTAGAAATTTAGGGTTTCGTGGTGGGCTTTAGGAGAGCTTCAGCTAAGGGGTTCACAATATGGGCTCTACAAAGCTCGGCAAGGCTTCCGTGAGGCTTATACTTGGGCAGGGGAGCTATGTGGTGGACTCGGGGTTAGAATGTAGGGGCCTTAATAATCAAAATAGGGTTCTGGGTCATACTGTACTATAATTGTAATAAGGAGCCCTTAAAATAGCACAAGTAGTTATTAAGGTCCCTACGAGGTGATGCCTCGTAAGGGTGGGCTCTACTTTTCAGGCTAGCAGAGAGTCTTTCATGATGCTAAACCCTAAGTCGGGGCCTTGAATTCAAGGTAAGAGCTGTTGAATCTTAACATCAGAGTATCTTGAGGACCTCTCGCTGAGGCCAACTATCAAACACTTTGTGCTAGGGACCTCCTCCACGGCCTGAAGCGCACGAAACGCTCTTACCTGTGATGTATTCCAGTTTTGCAAACTTGATGTAAAACGGTGCACTTACACCAACCACGTTGTTTAGTGCTCCACGTGCGCTGCTTGCTGCGTTGTGGCTCTATGACCAAGACTACATACCAAATTGAAAGCAATCACAGGTTCGTTCTCTACCAGGTCCATGCTAATTTTCGCACTAAGGCTTTGGCTTGCGGTGTACTCGACTTGCACGGCTGGGTCGCAAGGTGTCTGGTGACACTCATACTTCCAATCTTCTTCTTATTCTTCTTGCTTGCTGTTGTTGACTCCCAAGCCTGCTTACATTCAGGAAACCCCTCTCTCAATCTATTGTAGGGGCCTACTTGTTAGAATAGGGTTTTTTGGAGGGGGTATATGAAATTGAAATTGTAATAAGGAGCCCCCCCCCAGCATACCTAGATTGGCTGGGAGCTAGGATTGGGGGACCCTTCGGGATATAGACCCTCTCAATAAGGTCCCTTTTCAGAGAGCCAAAAGTAGGATTCAGAAGGGGTACCCTTCAAGGGGTACCCCTAATAATACTACCTATTAGTTGGGTTTCAGTCTCGCTGGCTCAGAGCTTGGCCACTGGGAGCCCGGCAGGAGGCGCTCCATGGTAACTGGGTCGATGGCACCTGGGCGCAGCGGTTGCGGGTTTTGGACACGGTTTGGGGTTTAAGTTTCGGGTTTCGGATTTTCGGGTTTAGGGATTTCGGGTTGGGATTCTGATATTTAGGAGTCTAGGGTTACAGTTTACGGCTTCAGGGTCGAAGGCAGGTAGGGGCTTTGGGTTCAGGGTTTTCAAGGCTCAAGTTCTTCTATCCGGGAGTCGAGAGTCTAGATTCTGATAGTGTCACTGTTTGTCGCGTATATACGAGTACATAGATGGGTATGCGCACACACCTCTGTATCCCATGTTGGCAGGTACGCGAAAGCAGAAAAAGACAAATGCAACATCAAACATGCGCATGTGTGTGCGCGTTGACAATTGGGTGGTTGTCAAAATTATGGTCCCTTTTTGGGTCCTTATTATAATACGGCACCTATTATTTAGGGTACCCCAAAAGGGACCCTAATTTTGACAACTACCCTATTAGATTATCCATACGAGCACAGGTCTCCCTCCCTCCCTCTCTCTCTCTCTCGCTCACTACTTGGAGGTTCATGGGTAGTTATAAGTGGGGTTATAAGTAGGGTAACTATACTTATAACCCATATTAGGGGACTTAAAACCCCTACGTATAACTACCCATGAACCTCCAAGTATTGCGAGTCCGGATCTTATGCTGATGCTGAACCAGCACTTGGCCCACCCACCAACTGCGAAAACAAAAAACCCACATCCCCAAGGCCAGCAGCCTGCATTTACATTTTTATCCCAGGCGAAGCAGCATCTCGACTGAGGGTGCTGCTCGCCATTTGCGGCACAGCCCATGGGGGATGCATGCCTCCAGGTACAAAGAACCCGAGAATCCCGAAGCCCCCTAAACCCTAAACCCTAAACCCCTAAACCCTAAACCCTAAACCCCTAAACCCTAAACCCTAAACCCTAAACCCTAAACCCCTAAACCCTAAACCCGAAGGACCCGAATCCCGAAGGCCTTAAAAGCATCGAGACCCTGAACTGAGGGAGGGATCCTTCTGAGGTGCACAGAACGATACCGCGGCTCTGTGAGGCTTCTAGGTGCTTCAAGAGACTTTTGTAAGGCTTGTTGTAAGTTCGGGCTCCTTTCGAGGTACACATCGAAGGAGTGAACGCAGCTTACCCAAAAACCATAGAAGCTTGCTAAGGCAATGGATAACAGCACGAAAGAGCACATGAAGAGTTTTGCAATGATAGACTTTGCCGGTGTGCGATTAACTTCAGCCAGTTTTCCCATTCAGGTGTGCACGTAGTCTAAATCGCACGGTACGTACTCGATATCTCACGTTAAAGTCTGCTCTGGACTGTGAGATGACGACGACTACCTCGCTGTAAACCCGAAGCTACACACGCACACACACTGAGTATCCCTCTGCTTTGGACCTGGGCCAAGCCCCGGAACCCAGGAACCCTTCGAAACTCGCTGGGTGCAGGAGTGTAGGATTCAACCTCCTTTTCTATGTCTGCTATACTATACTCAAGGCCTTGTCATGCTGAAATACCCCGGATCCTTCGTCGAATACTTGCGAAGATAAAGTTGGGATCCTCAAGGTGAGAACTCCCCCACCCAAGGCAAAGGCCTCACAATGCTGCATGAGTTTACCCCTCTGTTCTTCATGGGTTAAAGCCACAAATAAACCCAAGCCACAGCCACGAAAACTGCAGTCCAAAATCCAAAACCGCAAATCTAATCACTTTCCCTGCCTGCAGCAAGGAATAAGCGTCCGACCTACACAAGAGATCTTACAGAGACTTTTGTGTGGACTGTCAGGTTAGAGGTGCTCTTAGTTGCTGAGTTCATAAGCCACAAAAGTACAGCTTCAGCCCTGCAAAGGAGAACATTACATCAACCATTAATAGTGTACTCATTCAGCTACTGCGGAGGGGCTCCGTGATAAAGTGGATTCACAAACCCGCCCTCACTCGCAAACAACCGCGGCCATAGACCCGAAG